AAATTACGTAGAATAAAACAAAAAAAAAAAAAAAAAGTTGTATTAAATTTTATTAATGGTATTAAATTATCGATACTCCAATTATCCAATTATAGAGAATTATAAATCGGAAATTGAAATGGTAGTAATTTGTAATGTAAGATATATCGAAAAAAAATAATCATTTAGTATCGTTTTTTTTTTGCTTTGAAAATAAACTGGAACTTAAATTCAAATGTTATATGAAATTTTTAGTTTTAATCAATTACTAGTTTATTAATTTGAAAAATTTTTAATAAAATAAATTACTATTTTGATGAATTAAAATTATTCATATTATTTTAAGCTAAAAAAAAAGAAAGAAAAAATTGTCCGAGCAATTTATGCTCATTTTATTACCAAAAATTCGTTTGTTTCTTTTTTTTTTCTTGAGGAATAATCAAAATACATTCTTTTTTTTTTTTTTTTCATTTCATCGTAATTTTTGTTCTTTCAAACGATAGAAGTGACGAAAAAAAATTAGCAATTAATTTTTAATTTTGCAATTAATTTCGTATTTTCGATTTTGTTTTTTAAGCATTAATTTTTGAATATATTAATTAATGCATTCATCGTATTATATAGTTCGATTAATTTTTGATCTTTTTTAATTATCATACCATATATTGTTATTGTCATATTATCATTATCATAATTCAATATCATATTCAATTCATATTCATAATTCATTCATAATTCAATTCAATATCATAATCAATTATCATAACATATATTGTAATAATTGTTGATCCTTGTTTTGTTTTGCTATTTTTTTTTAATTATTTTATTAAAAAAAAATAAATTTAAAAATTAAAAAAATTTATACCTCGTCCACTTTTGCCAACAAATCGTAAATCATTAAATCGAGCAATTTGTCCATTCATTTGTGTACGATTATTTCGTAAATCAGCACAACAATTTTCCTCATTTCCGGCTGTTACCGTAACAAGTGTTCCATCCGGAACCGGTCCTAATGCAAATACGGTAAACGGTAATGGTAATGATTTATTGCTACGCCAATGATTGGGTAATGCGGTACAAATTACATTCGGACATCCGGTTGGTAATAATTTTGTTGTTGTTGTAACTGTTGCTAATACTTCTTCAAGCGCAATTAACGTCTTCTCATAATCATTTGTATCCATTATTAATTCTAAAATTTAAAAAATTTTAAAAAATGAAAAAGTAAAGGGAAAAAAATAATTGAATGAAATAAATGTAAACGCAATGAATGATAATTTAATAATTGTATTAAAATTTATCATTCGAGATTTATGAGTTAATTAATTATTTAATTAATTTAACTAAATAATCATAATGACAATCCAGATTATCGCTGTATGTTCGATGAAATGTATCAATTAGCATATAGTAATAAATAGGAAAATTTTTGCTAACTATTACATGAATTAGCAAAATTTTATTAAAACTGTTAATTACAATTAAAATAATTTATAATTGCAAAATTTATGCGCCAAAAAATTATTTTAAAAAAAAGAGAAAAATTAAAATTTTTTTTCAAAATTCTACGAAAAATTAATGAAATATGTTTCTAGAAAATCAATAAAATTATGGTAAATTTTATATCAAAAAAGGAATAAAAGAAAAAAGAAAAAACGAAAGATAAAAAATAAATTTGAGAAAAGAAAATGATGCAAAAACAATAAAAAATTCATTTTTTAAAATCAAGAAAAAAACAAAATTTTTTTGGAATTGATTTGAAAAATTAATTTAAATTATTAGAAGATAACAGGAAAAGTTTTGTAATAACATTAAAATACAACGATTAAAATTGTTAATGTTCTAGTAACTAAAATAATAATGGATATAGAAAATAATTTGAAGAAAATTGTTCTTCCAAAAAAATTTTGAAAAAATTATAATATGTAAAAATAAATAATTAAAATGAATTGATTGAATTTCAAAAAGAAAATAAAATTTCTAATTTAAATTTAACTTAAATATTGAAAATAAAGTTACTAATTTAAATTTTAAAACAGAAGGAAGGAATGAAAAGAGAGGAGAAAGAAGAGGAGGAGGAGGAAGGAGAGAAGGAGGAGGAGAAGGAGAGGGAGAAGGAGGAGGAGAAGGAAAAGATGTCGGCAAATGAAGAGAGGAGGAAGAGGAGGCGGAAGTTTGGTTAAATTTAAGTGGTTAAGATTTTATTTGATGATAGGCTCTAAAGAGATAAATGAAATGAATTGATCGATCGATAGATAGATTAGTTGAATTGATCAATAGATAGATTGGATTGGTTGAATTGATCAATAGATAGATAGATTGGTTGAATTGATCAATAGATAGATTGGATTGGTTGAATTGATCAATAGATAGATAGATTGGTTGAATTGATCAATAGATAGATTGGATTGGTTGAATTGATCAATGATAGATAGATT